CATTCCTGAATCAGCAAACCTTGCTTACACTCAGTCATGCCCAAGTTATTTCCAGATTGGACTACTGTAATGTGCTCTACATGGGGCTGACCTTGAAGAGTATTTAAAAGCTTCAATAGATATAGATCAAGGAACAACCAAGGAGAAATTTGTACTCCCACCAACATTAGCAGGCCAAGCTATGTATATAAACAGGGAGAAAATCCCACACTCAGTAGCATTGATGTTGTTATTTAGTTGAGTAATGAAATGTCTGCAAGTGAACAGCGAAGCTCAGAGCGCACCAGAGACTCTACGATCCAAGCTTGAGCTATATATATAGACGTATATATAGATATTCTCTTCTATTGGAAACTTTATGGGGTATTGACTTAAACATAGTAATGAACTGTTGTCTTTTACGCTGTCTGGGAATGCCTCAGATGAACTAGCCTACTTGGCACTGACAGACAGAAACACCAGTTGGACTCACAAGTAATTTAGTTTACTTTGGAATAATGAGCCTTCTATGCCACTGCCAAGCATTTGTTTCAGCTGATTACTGAGAGAAGAAATATTCCGCTTTCTTTCCAAAAGTGATTTGGTTGATATAATTTGGTTATTAATTAGGAAGAAACTACACCTCTCTGCCTGTTAACTACAGTTGCATCTCCAATTCAAGAGACTGCTCACCTGTCCTTCAAGGAATGTGGAACCTGCTCATAGTTCTCTGGGTGGGTTTGGAGGAAAAGTTGTTTTAAGATACAGGGTGCATTAAATTATTCTTTCTAAAAAGCTTGATTTATTTTAGTGGAAAGCGAGATTGCTGCAATTGAGACCGTACAGGATGCCTAATTTTTTTATATCAGCCACTGAAGCTCATATCTTTGCTCCATCTTCCTTCCCGTTTCCCCCATTTTTATTTGTTTAGCTATATATGATATTTCTCATATCATTTACATCTCCCCCATGTAGTCTGTTATGCTAGATAATCCCGAAAGCCACCTTTTATATTGAAAAAGGAAGCTCCAATTTTCTGAAAACAAATTCTAAGAATTTGTGCAACCATAAGGAAAATGATAGTGGTTAAACATATTTTAAAAGGACAAACAATATTATTTTGACACTTTTGACAACTGGAAATGAAACCAAACAGCAGAAATATTTAATGCTACTTTCCTTCATGATTCTGATCACTGCCAGAGACGTTTAAACAAAACAAAAACATCATGAGACCGTCCTCCTAATGACAAAGATGCTCTAAACCTTACTGCACAGAAGTAAACAAAATTAGGGAAAGTGCCACGAGTAAGAAATAAGAAAAATAAGAACAAGAAATTAAAAAAAAAACCAGGTCTTGCATTGCACTTTGATATAATTGCATGCCCAATAAAAGGGCTAAGTGCTAAATAACGAATATTTATTTCACATTACAATTATTTGTGCCTGATATAAAGCATGGTTATGGCAGGGATGGAGGGAGGAGAGAGAGCACTACCTATCAGCTATTCTATTTATGCTAGGTAATGGTTAACAATAGCCAAAATTATGTATGTTGGAGAAATGTCAGTCCACATTATCTTTTCTGAATATGAAAAGATATTAAAAATCAATTTATTTGAAATTCTGATATTATTACTGGTAGCCCTCAGCTTCCGGATAATTCACTTCCTCCTGGGTCTTCTTGGACCCCATTCTAGTACTTTCTGCAAAAAGGGAGCTTGGAGACAAATCAGAAAGAACCCAACAGTGTTGGGTTCAATGGTGTATTCCTCAGAAGGGATATACTATTGCCTTCATCAAGGCAGGCACAACAGCCCCTCACTTTTATTGTACTTTCTTATGTTACTTCTAACACAGAGCATGAACACCCTAGAATTGTCACATTTAAATAAATGATATGTGGGGATATGTGAGCGGTAGGTCATGGAGAAGATCTGAAAAAAAAAGCCTGAATGTCAGGAACCAGATTTTAAAGCATAAGTCAAATACCTTTTCAGCCATTCTATTCAAATAGGTTGGGGGGAGAGGGGCTTCAATTATATGGCAGGATAAGCTACTGTGCAGAAAAAGAAATCAAGGAGAGAAGCAACCTAGAACTAAGGAGAAACTTCCTGACAGTTAGAACAATTAACCAGTGGAACAACCTGCCTCCAGAAGCGGTGAATGCTCCAACACTGGAGGCTTTTAAGAAGACAGCCATTTGTCCGAAATGGTATAGGGTTTCCTGCCTGAGCAGGGGGTTGGACTAGATGACCTCCAAGGTCCCTTCCAACTTTACCATTACTGCTGCTACTACTACTACTACTACTACTACTACTACTACTACTACTACTACTACTATTATTATTATTATTATATTCTTCTAAAACTCTGATAGATTGATTGCAATACATCCATGAAAACCCCCAATTAAATCTTTATCCTTTCAAATTGAGGAAGGGAGGGAGGAAGAGAAAGAGAGGGGAAAAGAGAGATGGGGGGGAGAGAGAGAGGAAAGAGAGAGGGGGGAAGGAAGAGGAGGAGGGAGGGAACGAGAGAAAAAAGAAAAAGCTATCTCAGATGGCTTGTTGGCATGAACCAATCAACCCAGCCATAGCAGTGCCAAAAGGGTAGAAGCTAAAATCAGTCATGAGGAAGCACCAAGGGACTAGCAATTGGAAAGCGCTTCATTTAGAAAGAACCGGAGGGAGAATAACAAGGAACAATAGCTGGAGCACAGAGAACACAGTGAAAGGAATGAGAATTAATGATTTTTTAAGGAAGGCAATAATTTCTTTATGATTTGAACTCTGCAACGTACAAACCTACAGGCACCCGAACAGTACCTGCGTGTCAAGACCTGACATTCCTATTAGCAAGGTGCCCAAAGGCAAACACAGTTTTTAGCAGGCCAATATTTTTTGGGGGGTGGGGGGACGGGGGAGGCAGGCAGGGAGGGAACACACCTTGTCTAGGGGGAAAGTTTAGGAAAGATGCATTTGAAAAGAGCAGCAGAGTGCAGGCAGGAACAGGAGCCAAGGCCGTTTAAAGAAAAATAGAACAAAGGAACAAAGGGGTAAGGAGACAAATATCAGGGGACCAAAGTGTTTCTCTGGTGTTCAAAAAACAAGATAAATATTTTGCAGACATAAAGAGCTGAGGGCAAGCGAGCAATATTAAATAAAACAGATCAATGAAACAATGAAATAAGGAGCAGATAAAACAAGGATCCAACAAAATCGAGACAGAGGTTTGTTTTTTTTAAAAAAAAACGGTCAACGTAAGCAGATATTCCAATAAACCAGCCCTGTCAATCATTTGTCAAGGGTGGGGAGCGAAGCTTATAATACAAAGCCAGCCAGATGTGTTGAACTACAATAACCATAATCCACAACCGGCAAAGTTAACAGGTGTGGAAGTGATAGTCCAATATATTTGAATAGTGTCTGATTGGAAACCCTGTCATCAAGTCCTAATTCCAATAGTTTCCTGAGACTTACCACTAAAATCAAGAGAACATCCATCTGCTGTGACCATCCAAACCAAAGAAACTGAACTAAACTGGCTGCTTCTGTTCTACAATTTAATATCCAACTTTTCTTTGGATACATTTATCCAGAAAAATGGGTGCTCCTTCATCCATAGGAGGTGATTTTTTATAGCTGAAAAATGTATAAAAGCATATATATTCCCCGCTAGCATCGTATCTTAATGAGACGGATGGAGCTGATCAGAATAATAATAACCTAGTACCTGGCAGACTATGCAATGAAACAATAACACTAATAACAGAGAAGGAAACAATAGATAGCAAATGATACCTCTGCAAAGAAAAAGAAGAAAAAAAGCAGATCACCTAGTTGCAAAAGGATCACACAAACTGATGCTTGGAGAACACTTGTATATTCTAATGCTGAAGCATCTGTACAGGCAGTCTTTGACCACAATTAAGACCAGAATTTCTGTTGTTAAATGAGGCAATTGTTAAGTAATTTGCACCTAATTTAATGGCCTTCCTTGCCACAGTTGTTAAGTGTATCACTGCAGTTGTTAAGTGAATCGTGTGGTCATTAAATGAATCCAACTCCCCCTTATTGACTGTGAGGACGCTGCTAAGTGAGGGGATCAGTTGTAAGTCGCTTTTTTCAGTGCCATTATAACTTTGAACAGTCACTAAACGAATGGATGCAAGTTGGGGACTGCCTGTGGATCAAGATTGCTTAGGTCTATCTCAGAGGTCCCCAACCTTTTGGGCACCAGGGACCGGTTCCGTGGAGAGAGGTTTTTCCACAGACCGGAGAGTGCCTGGTTTTTTATGCTGCCTGCATCCCACGGATGGGCTTTGCTTGTTTATGCGGACCGGATGCTGGCATGCTGCGGCTCGGTACTGGTCCACAGACAGGGGGTTGGAGACCCTGGTCTATCTGACTTTTTTTGCTCGTTTGAACTGTTGAGATTTTAGAATGAAACCAGCAGATGAGAAGCTATGGTAAACTGGATCGAGGAGATGAGACTTATAGCTAATACATCTTCAGAAGGAACAGCAGAATTGTCGCAGTTTCACACTTTACATTTTTAGGGTACATTTTTGGATTTAGAAAAACAACACAGGTAGCCCTTGACATTCAACAGTGACCGTTTGAAGTTACGATGACACTGAAAAAAGTGACTTATGACCAATTTTCACACTTACAATCCCATGGTCACGCGATCAAAATTCAGATGCTTTGGCAACTGACTCCTATTTATGATGGTTGCAGTGCCCCATGGTCGTGTGATCTCCTTTTGTGACCTTCACACAAGCAAAATCAATGGGGAAGTCAGATTCACTTAACAACAGTGTTATTAATTTAACAACTGCAGTGATTCCCTCAGCAACTGTGGCAAGAAAGATCGCAAAAGGGGGCAAAACCCACTGAACGAATGTCTCACTTAGCAACAGAAATTTTGGGTTCAGTTGTGGTCGTAAGCCGAGGACTACCGATATACAGCGGTATGTACTAAAAAATCGTCTGTCAAAAGTTTTTTTTTTCTTTTACCTTGGGATCTGCAGTGAGCAATTTGAATGCTTGATACACTTGTGCTTCTTTCACACCTCCGCCAAGATCCAGAAAGTTGGCAGGTTTCCCACCATTAAGGGAAATTATATCACAGGTTGCCATTGCAAGTCCAGCGCCATTTACTGTAATTAAAGAGAATTAAATTGCTGATTTTTTTTTACAAGATGAAATATGAACATATGCAAATGTAGTTCCAAGGTGCCAAAAACAAAAGAGAGAGAGAAAAGATAAAAGAAAAAGAACAGAAGAAGAGAAAGAAACAGATGGAGAAAAATTTAAACCTATGAAAAATTGGACATTTGCTTCCAGGTCCTATGACTCTTATTCAAGGTGTCTCAATTTACTGAGTTATTTAAAAAAAGGGGGGAGGGGGCACAGAAACACTGAATAATAAACTACAGCATAAACAAGCAAAACACCAAATACAGGTAGTCCTCGACCCACAACAGCTTGTTTGGTGACTGTTCGAAGTAACAATGGCACTGAAAATAGTGACTTATGACCATCACAGCATCACCATGGTCAGGTGATTTACATATATTTTTATTAATTTTTATAGTCACAATTCTTAATATTTTATCAGCAACATATTGTCTGGGTTCCAAAATTTAAGTTACTAATACATGTTAAATTCCTTTCTCTCTACCTCATTTTTCTAGCCATTGATAAAAAGTATCCCAAGTTCTAAAGCAGGGGTGTCAAACTGCTGGCCCGCGAGCCGGATGCGTCATGCTGAAACCGCGCGGCAATGGAAAAAAGTCGTGATACGTCATGTGACGTTGCGAGTTTGACACCCCTGTTTTAAAGTATACTGAGCTTCTTTCTCTTTCATTTTCAATGTCAAACTGTCCATTTCTGCACAATCTAGAATTTTTTTGATTAAATCTTCCTCCGTTGGTAATTCTGCATTTTTCCAATGTTGAGCGAATACAATTCTTGCTGCAGTTAATACATGTAATATCAAATATATATATTCTTTCTCATAATTTCCTACAATTATATCTAACAAAAATAATTCTGGCTTAAAATCTGTATGTTTTTTAATAATTTTCTCTAAATATATATGGTTAGAAAAAAAATATATATATTCTTGACCAAAATCTTTTGGCTTTAGGGCATGTCCACCAAAGATGATAGTATGTGCCTGGTTTTTGTCTACATTTCCAACAGTTGCTGGACGTATTTTTAAACAGGTGATTTACATTCGGTTGCTTGACAACTGACTTATATTTATGACAGTTGCCATGTCCTGGAGTCATGTGATCCTCTCTTACGACCTCCTGACAGGCAAATTCAACTGGGAAAGTCAGATTCACTTAACAACCATGTTGCTAATTTAACAACTGCAGTGATTCACTTAACAGATGTGGAAAGAATAGTCGTAAAATGAGGCAAAACTCATTTAACAAATTTGTCACTTAGCAACATAAATTTTGAGCTCAATTGTGATCGTAAGTTGAGGACTACCTTTACTACCAATGTATACTTCAATACTGAAAATGGGTATCGCTTATGTCTAGCAATGAGAAAAAGACTTAAGTTATTCTTCTGCTCCTTCTTATAGTCACCATCTAACTTAATGTATGACTCAGAAATAACAAAAGTGGGGAATAAAAAAAACCCAATCAGTTTCCCTTTTCCTTGTATACTAAGAAAGGTGTCAACACTGACACTGAAACGAACTGAACTGAAGCCATTTTCACTTAGTTTTCCGTTGCCACATATTTAGTAAAGAAGGAGGGAGGGGTGAAGTTCTGGGTTAGCCAAACAATTCTCATGTATGGGAACCAAGGTCATCACTGATAACATTTTGGCGGGCTGGAGAGCTGGGAGGAGTGCCTGTGTTTTCTAACAATTGGTGAATGTGATTTATGACATCTAATTGGGGTGGGAATTGCAACTTGCAACTTTGTAACCAAGGGGAGGGGAATTTAGTCTTGGGTTCACCTTTGTATATGCCGTTATTTTGTAGCCAAATAAAAATGTTCTTTGAGGAAGAATTGCTTGCCTTGAAGTTCTTTTAACTGGTCTCATCTACCGGAACCATGACAAAAGGGCTAGGGAGGGCTGGTGGGTGACCAGGTAGTGGGAGGCTGTTGGAGTCTCTGGAAAAATGATGGAGAACAGGAGGGAGGCTGAGCACCTAGGAAGGTGAGGGTGCTATATAGGCTGGAGAACGTTTTACTGAATCTAACTTCTCCTCCCTTCTTCTTGCATTCAATACAGCAGAGGAGTAAAAGAGTAGCAACAAAAACCAGTTATAAAATCAGAAGAAACTCCATATTTCACGTCTTCATTTTATTCCTTCAGTTACCCAGATCCTTTAGTCAGTTTTGCAGTTTTATGGGCCGTGCCTAATTTCATTAACATTGCACAAAACTATGTTAAAACAATAAATTCTTTCTAATAATATTTTGTAAAACGTTATCCTTATAACAAATTCCAACTACAGTAGTTAGAGTTTTACCAAGACTAGAAAATGTCTTAATTTTTCCTTTTAAAAACTGCTGGGTTCTCTATACCAGAGTTTCCCAATATTTTCGGCTTTGCGGATTGGTTGTGGGGGGGGGGGAGGAGAGAGTATGGTTCCGTGCGAACAGTGAGCAAATATGCATGTGCACACAGCTCTATTTGTGTGAGCAGCGGGCATGTGCATTCGCTGCTCGCACAAATGGAGCCCATGCATATGAGCTTGCACTTCCGTGGAACGGTTCTGAACTGCTCAAGTGCACTGTGGCCCGGGGATTGTAGACCCCCTGCTCTACAGTATACATTAAGGGTTCTTCCAGTTGCAAAAATGATTAGCTCATGAATGAAATAGAAGAAAATGGCTTAGTCCATTAAAATGTCAACTTCTTTTCATAGCTAAACTTTTCTGGTGAGAGACAGATACATTTCAACCAGGATTTTGGACGTGGTGGTCCAAACAGCTGCTTCTAACCCTATGGAATCTCTGAACTTGGAATGCATGATATATACCATCTAATATGTATTACACATTTATTTGTTTTATAAACATGAACAAAACATAATCAAATCAGAGACTTCCGGTGGCAGGCGATTTCGTCGGTCGCAGCTGTTTGCTGCCTCCCGCCTGTTTTGCGTAAAAGCCGGTTTGACAGCCAGCATCAGCTGTCAAACGGCTTGATACCTTTCCCCTGGGCATAAGGGGATAGGTGAGCTGCCCGGGGTAGGAGTTGAGTTCCCGAGTCGTCCTATATGGACGATGTAGGCGAG